AATACGACAAAGCGCTATTGTTTTCGCTCAACAATTATTCTTCGATGATTGCACGTCGTTAAAGAAGTTTTTCAGCAATCTAATCAGCCCACGCCTGCAGCGATGATACGAATCCGCGCTTTGTGAAGAATGAAAAGCTACGGGTCAATCCCTCCTGGATATTCTGTGGGCATATCTAGCCCCATGTCGGTCCCACACAGAGCTGTCCAGCCCAATCCACTGATATGTTCCTGGAATGGGAGTGGGGAAGCTGGATTCAAACTTGACAGCTTCCCCATTCAAAGCTAATGTGAAGAGATGAAGGGCACAAATCAATCTCTTACAGGTTTCTGGATTTTCTGCCCGTAAAGGCGTTTACCCACGCTTTCCCTTCAAAATTTTCCCACGCCCATGAAAATGAGTGATGAGAGCCATTGCTGTAGAACCTAAAACAAATTCTCTTCATCACTCGTTCTGGTATGTCAAGTTCCCTTTGAAAGGAAATCGCTTCCCAGACCCCATCCTCACTTCGTCCATGTCAACTAATGAGGGATATAGGCTAAAAGCGTTAAGTTTTTGAGCGTTAATAAATCTCTTCTAAGGGATGCGCCCCGCATTCAACTTCTGTTCAGAAGCGTAATGGCTTATTGAATGCGTATGTGGTCTATGCAATGATTTGCGGTGGCCACCAGTTGATGTACAAGTCAGTGTTTTTATCCTCCCAGGCGAATCTGGTTCTAGTGAATCGACCCCGGTGCGGTGGGAGATTTGGTTGGCTTAGGCGGATTTCTGGGATTCGATCATGGGACCATTCGTGTGTGATGGTGCGACCGAGGGGTAATTACAGAAATAGAGTTTTCTGAAGCTTATTCTGCAGTATAGGCTCGACTCTTTGAAGTACTTCACTTAACAACAAGGCCCTTGCCCGTTTTTGTGCAAATGAAAAACCGATTTCGCAATTCAACGATCCTGACTGGAATTTGAATGCGCAGCTTACTGGCGACAAATCATTCTGTTCCTGAATCCTCCTTTTTTTCTTTCTAGCCATCTGATCTCTTCGCTATATCAAAAACGTCTTTCCATAGCTTCATGGGTGGGCCATTTTTCGTCCCTTGATAGCAATAAATGAAAGGCCCCTAGATTTACCGGGACTTTGACGTGAACACTTGAAGGAAAGCATTGTGAATAATGTCTTTTAGTCTCTAAACAGGCCAACCTTGGAATCGGCATTGTGAGTAATACAGGGAAGGGGGGGGGGGGCCATGTGTCATTAGTGCGTCTATTCAGACTGCAAAACAGGAGGTGACTCAGGGGACAGAACGAAAAGGAAGTTTGACACGTTCTAGTTCTAAACGGCCGGAAGTCCTAACTGGTAATCATACCTGACTCACTTGTGTCAAGGCAATACGTCCATCCTCAGAACGGGGTTTCATTAATTAGAGTGGAATACTCGGATAATAAAGAGTCGGACGTGTTGGAAAAATGAAGAAAAAAGCCCACGACATTTACAGTCACATCTCGGAGTACGCCACGCATTTGAATTCCGTTTAGAATTGTGAAGGCATTCAAACATTTTCACCCTTGGCATGATGCCATCTACAAATTTTTTGCTATTAAATCTCGGGACGGCTTTTTGAAAAATTACTTTCAGCTCGAAGCATATCGAACCCAACGACGGATGTCACGTGCCTCGTTATCTGGAAAGGAGTACAAGGTAAAGTTTTTGAAGTAGTTTTTACAACTTCTGTTTATATGTTTCTACGTATCCATAGAGCGCCATTTTAAAGGCACAGTTTACGATAAGAGTGGTTTCTGAGACTCCCCCACAGGATGAATTTGTGGCCCCCGCATATACCATATCTGGCACTATTAGGTCGGAAGGCCTAGTTAAGGAGCTATAAAGGCCTAAAGATTGGCCGGTGTGTACCCTCGGACGAGTTTTCACCAGCATTTAAGGGCTGCACCAATCACAAGGGAACCCAAGTAGTTCAAACAACTCGTCATGACTCATAGCGACAGTGAAAGATAGTTCTGTGCAGTTCTGGCTTGATGCAGTCAGCTCCTTGCACAATTGCAATAGCTGAAATCTCACCCGAATATCCCTTCCATGTTCTTTCCGTCATGGCAAACTCGTCCAACCTCTATATTGCGTACTCTTGAGTAGCCATATTTTTCTCGAAATCAGCGGAATCTCTAGCTTTCTCGTCGAATCAAAACGGGTACCTCAAAATTATAGCGAACTGTGCCATTGAAGTATTTCAAGAGCAAAAAGAAGGAGAAACTTCAGTTAGCATTGCATCCACATATTCTATTGGCGGATTATATGTTGCATCACCCACTATTAAGTGCAGTTTTTCTCAAATATTCCAGTATTCGTTTATTATTATTATATTATTTCACTTTTACTTTTCGGTCTCTACCTGAACGAATTCTCTTTAACAGGAGTCTTCTATCCAAGTGACATCGCTAGCTCTGTTGATAGCCTTTTTAATTTATGTAGCCATGGGAGCTCTTTTATTGCCAGCATTGAATGGACAGGTAAATGCGCTCTTTTTTAATAAGTGTTTCAGTAATTTTTATGACTTATTTGTTTTTTCAATAAAAAGTTCTCGAAAGGTGGCACCCGCTCAGGCATGTCGTTGTGCCGAAAGTTGTTATCCGATTTTGTAAATAAGTACTACATTCAAACTGGTTTTGTAGGTCTCTCTTAACTGAGATATAGTCTATCCTAGGCCCTGGGACTATGTTACGAATTCTGAAGTTGTGCCACGCCTCTATAACGTACTTTTACTGACGACCACCAAGTTGAGGTTCCTCTTTGACAGTGAGGTGGAAGTAGTTAAGTAGTTAAGTGGGGTTAAAGTGTTCAGAGGTGGAATGATAGAGAAGGGAAGCATGTTTTAGCTTGTATATTAATGGTGGGTCACCGAAATATTCTCATACTCCCACATGACTCCGGCTTTGAAATTATTATCTTATTTGATAGTGTAATTTGAAAAATGGAATAGTTTCAAGTGGCGCGCTGTCACTCCTACGGTCCAGGATCGATTCCCCAATCGATATCAGGCCAGGCCGTCTAAGCCCTGCTTCCTTCCAGGGTCGCTCATTGGTGGCACAATCGTGTGGGATAATTAAAACCTGATTTTACATCGGCTGACCACCCCCAGTATAAGCCAATACGAAGTCAAAGCGCCTCTACGATTTTGAATGGAAGTTTAAGTTGGGGCGCATCCCAGAGAAAGGATTGAGTGACGACAAGATCTTTATCTTTTTTATTTTACAAATTTAGCCGGCTTGGTTCAATGGGGACTGCATTAATAGTAGGTATGTATAAAAACTTCACGGAGAAAAGTTTTTGCAGATAGATTTTTTCAACGGGCTATATTTCAACTTTTTGTGCCTTACTGCAATCGACTTTGGGCAATTGGTCCCAACAAGGTGAGTTTCAGTTTATTAATTTTATTAGTTTGTTTTTTAGTTTGTTACACACACCTAGGCCAACGAACTTTTTTTGAATGCAAATAGTTGAACTCTGATTTCAGGGTCGCGTTTTTACCTATTACCTTTCTGTATGTATGCTTAGGATTGGCCATAACAACAATTGCTATAGGTAACTATCATTTGATCTGATTAGAGAATTATCAGTAGAAAAGATTTCACATTATCCATAGCTACCTTTCGTGGGTAAACAATTCTGCTGGTAAATGCATACTCGTTGTAGATGTTGGCTCGGAGTACATGAAAAAATTGCACTACCTCGGAAAGAAGATGAAGGATGCGGCATCGACAAAGATCTGGTTCGGTGGAAAGACGTAAGTAACTTCGGGGCTTTTGGCGTGATTTACTGGCTGCTTTCATAGTCCGCGATTTGGTCCGCGAGCGAGCGACGGACCGACCGACCGGGGTCGGCGCTTGCCCCTTGCTTACAACTGAATCTTGGTCGATATCGCCGGACGAGTAGTCCCTCGATCGCTCGCACGTTCGCGGGCCAAATCGCGGACTATGAAAGCAGTCACTCCATTACACAAAATGGAACATTAA